TGGGGTGGGACTGCGTGAATAGTGCAAGAGGACGCGGCAGGTTGTTAACTGCATTCCTTTCCTAGAATCTCGTCTAACAGGACCTCACATTGTCTACTTACCCTATAGTGTTCCTGCCTAAACCCAGAGAAGTGCAGTAGCGAAAACATGGCAATGAAAAGGAAAGTTTTAAGCATTGAAGAGAAAGTTAAAGTGATTCGTGAAATAGAAAATGGAAGGAAAAAAGCTGATGTATGCCGCGAATTTGGTTTGGTGAATTCTACAGTACAAACGATATGGAAAATCCATATTAATTCCACGTTAATGTTACGTTAGTCTGTACTTAACTACGTATTTCACTAAAAAATGCAAAATTTTAACTCGGTTTTTGGTAGGTTTTTACGTGGCTAACATAAGGCTACTGTGGAAATGCCCATTTCGGTTACAACGACATTCGTTTATAACGACACTATTTTTGGGTCCCTTTGATGACGTTATAACCAAGTTCTACTGTATTTATGTAATTATAGCAGATATGAGTATCATAATATCTCCATCTTCAGGGTAGAAATATTCCTCCGAACTGGTAACGTTCTACTAGACTGAACTGCGTCATACACCTGAAGATGACTTTCTTCAAAGTTACCGATGACAGAACTTCAAACCCCGTTCATTACCGTATTTACAACAGTTCGCCACCTGACCCTATCCTGAACCGGATGAAATCAGTTCACACTCTCATACTCCTTATGTTTAATTTGGTTTGTACCTGCAGGTAATGGACCGCGAGGGTTGGTAACTTGCAAAGAAGGCGTTTGTATAGTACGTGAGCTCGGATTGAGGCACTAAACCCACTCTTGACAATGTTTGAAATCAGTGATAGTACGTTCCTCATGCCAGTTGCGTTGCCGTGTGACGAAAGCTTGCAGAATGCAGTCGGAACCTCCTGCATATGGAGGGCAACTGCCAACACAAGCCAAATAAGGCAACGCATAGGGAGGATGCGTTGAGTAAAGAGAAATCTGACTGCTTCTTAATTCAGTGACCTAATCGTGAAACGAAGTGACTATTTACACAAGTTAATATCTCATAAATTAGCAGTAAGTTATTAAAGCAACGAAACTTTGGAAAACTTTCAGTTGGTGATGGAGTAAGGTCTAGAGGTGGGGCACGCGGTAGCGTAGTTGCTTGAGGCACTATGCTACAAGTCGGAAGGTAGCGGGTTCAAGTCCCGATGAAGTCATTGGATATTTTAGAAAGCCGCGCCATATCTCAAGCGGTTAGTCGCTGGCTTCCCACCGCGGCGGCCCGGGTTCGATCTCGGATCTGGTCAAGTGGGATTTGTGGTGGACAAAGAGGCACTTGGGCGGGTTTTCTCCGAGTTCTTCGGTTTCCACTGCTAATCTTTATTCCACCAAATTCTCCATCATCATAATCACCCGGGGCAGGCTACAATAGGTCAATCAGTGGCCGCCTTGCCGAGTGGACCCAGTTGGACTCCACGGCCCCCCTACTAAATGAATTTAAATATTAAAAAATAGTCCAGAGGTTCATGTGCATTTAATATTTGTATTATCTCTTTGCAAATTGTGCCTAAAAGTAACACAAAATTTGTATATCATAATACTGTTTCCCTTTACTACATATACGAGTATTTCAAGCCCTGAATTTGTTCAAAGAACAACACCAGAAATTTTATTATATTGCTTGTTCTAAATTTTCGGGAAAGTTTATTTATCATGCGTACTTGTCTCAAGTGTAGCTATTGATTCATAGAAGATCTCACATGTAACCCCATAATTTGTTTTCTAAAGTGGCTCATTGTAACAAAAGCCCATACAATAATTGCTCCACAAAAGAGAACTGCTTCTTTATCGTTATGATAATTGAATTATTTAAATAAAGCCTGCTACCTCATTAGCAGACGTTATGCAGCGTGGACGGTGGATACTTGTACTTGATGGGGAAAGGAAATCTTTGTCTGTTTCACGATACCATCATGCAAGAAGACGAACCGAACAGAACTCAGCCACGATACTGCTGATACAGCTGTCAGATATATTGTTTCTTTGTACTCTAAGCATTCTGGCAAATTCTGAGTCACCCGGAAACTTGTACTTTTGATTTCACTTCTCCTGTTCAGCACTGAACTGGACACGTCTCTATTGATCAGACTGAACATTTCTCTGGCGCTCCTCTCGCTCTCGTCAATACGATTGGAGACAGTTATTAGACATTCCTTATGTGAAGACGGACCTCTAAATATCTTGTGTCCGTCCGTCTGTCTACTTCTGGTCTGCTAAGCCAGCGCATCTCGGAATTTCACTGGAATCCTTAAAAGAGATTCGGTTACTGGGTAACGCAATAACAAGTCACGTACCCAATATTCTTAAAGTTCTCTTCAATATTCAGTATTATAGACGAGAGAATTTTTCTTGCACAAAATTATATGAATGTCTTCTCGAGAACAACTTTTTTTTTTGCGTAATACTTAAGAATGTGGAAGAATTTTTGATGTACGAATGAACATCAAACTTCATAGTTTACATAATTTGTCATGAAGACTTCTTGAAAGGATGAAGAGTTCGAGATAAGGTAAAGAAGATTTGAGATTGTGAAGATGGGAGTTGAATGTATCTGATTTAGGATATTATACAGTGGAGGACATTAGTATGTCTAAGGCACGTACTGTCTTCGCTCGCTTGGAAACAGGGATCGTGTGTTCGAATCCCACTCAGGGCATGGATGTTTAGTTTGTGTGTGTGCGTTTTTCTGTGTTTGTGTAGAGGTAGAGGCCTTGCGACCAGCTGATCACCCGCCAAAGGAGTCCTACCGAATGTGTAAGATCTAGAAAAACCGAGGTAGTCCTAGGCCCATTGGGGCTGTAGTGCCAAGGGGGGGGGACATTAGTATGAGCGATGTTTAATTATGTGAACTAATTTGTAAGTACTGTACAATTTGTAGAAATTGAGTTTGTCCTGTACATCCACAAGTTAAATTCATTTCTCTCAAAATGAAGGGTTACAAATAGCAGGACTAGGAATTTCCCACACAAATGAAAGGATTAAGACTGTAAAAGAAATCCGATTAATTTACCGACGATGTTTCAACTGCAGATGTTAAACAATAACAAATATTGTGGTTTAAATAATAATCTATAGTAAAACTTTACACAGAATATTGGCATATTTCAAGGTGTAACATCAAAGTTTACCTCCAGATTCTGAACAATGCCATGTGAAGATAGCAAGTCTCTCGCATGTATTTTAAATCGGGTATCCTTGCAATACAACTCTGTAAACAAGTATTAAAAATATCTAAATGAACAGACAAAAACACAAGAAGGAAAACAAAATCATCTCCGAAGAAAGCAGTCTTCTGGAATTTGGCACCGTGTATATGTGGTGTTAACCGACGTTTCGGAGGAACATATCGCCTCCATCTTCAGGGTAGAAGAAAAAATATAAGAAATCTGCAAGCGAAGAGACCGTGAGAACCGGTAAAAGCAGACCACAGCCGTGAAAGCCTCAAATCTTACAAAATCATCTCCATCAGTAAGAATTTCCCGACCCTTGGTCTGGAGCTTAACACCATTATGTCATGTAGCAGTTTTACTTGACAGTACAGTCTGAGAAAAATAATGACTCTAATAATGAATCCTGTGATCTCGCTTCTCATAATAAAGAAGTTGGCGATGAAATTCCATAAGCACATAGTTATTTATAGCCTGAGAAGTGCTCAATTTCAGTAACAATGTCCTAATGAAGACTGGCCTAATCATAACAAAAGTTGCCGTGTCGTTGTTTTGAATGCAATTATTCTCAGTAACTCGCTATGTAGAGCAGGGTCTTACAAGAGAATTCCGTAGTTGCTCAGATATTCAATAAGTTCCAATTTTTTGTAAGCCCCGAAGGCTCATTGCCATGTAAGAAGACAGCAACTAGACCAAAGTCCTAATCGCACGAATCCAGTGCGCTCATATCCTATTTCTTTAATATTCAACATTATTTTTTTTCTATCCCTGTACCAGGCTGTGAAGGCCCATAGGGCTGTGAGACGTTGAGGGTCCCACATTATCTAGACAATAGGCTCAAAGATGGCGGTAAGGTTGTCAGCCTTACGCGCCGGCCGCGCTTTACTCCCCAGGAAAATTATTTAATTAATTCCTGGTACTCATTACTGGTAGAGGCTGAGTGAACCCCAGGGCCATAGTGCAGCTGGAAGGATTAGGAGTCATGGAGACTTGAACCCAAGACTTTCCGGCTTGTAGCATAGCCCTTCAACCAACTACGCTACCGCGTGCCCCAATATTCAACATTATTGCCATCTGTGTTTCGTTAAGATCTTCTTACGTGTGCCCATCGGGCTTGTCTGATCACTCTTACATCTTCTGCCCTTTGTTCGCCTCCTCGTTATGCAACTTGCTCCAACATCCGCCTGCTGCTCTCTGCCTTGGCATGAATACTCTCAGGCCCTTGTACCTACACTATTACATTACGTTAAGAGACTAATTTCATATCCTTATGGAACGAGAGAATTATAGTTTTATATGTTTAATTTGTATGTTTGTAGATATGAGACAATTGCATGAAGAAATATCCATTGGTTCACACACATAATAAGGAACGTATTTGGCATACCACCAACAAACCTCTAAATGTTGCAAATTACAGACACGTTTCAAGCTAAGCAATCCATTGTACCATTTACCAACTTGGGCCGGAGCCGAGATAGCGCAGTCGGTATAGCGACTGGCTACTGGCTGGACGTCAGGGCGGTTGGAGTTGAGTCCCAGTAAGTTGAAGAATTTTCTCCACGTCTTCCAGGCCGTTTCTGGGGTCAACCTCGCCTCCTATTTAAAGGCTATAGGGGGATAATTTCCCGGGGATAAAGCGGCCGGGGCATGAAGCTGACCACTCACCTCACCACTTTACCTACGCCTTTATGGCGTAGTGCTTAATTAGTTAAGCATAGGGACAATTGTTACCGACTTAGATACATAAGTAAGCAACAATACTTACGTATTTGACCCCTTCCACCAATATGTGAAGATCATAATCATCATCGAAGTAATTAGCATAGAGTAAAGGGGGGTGGAACGGGTCCTTTGAACGAAGTTTCACTCTTCCACGACTTCGTGGCCTCAGAAGAATTGGCACCAGCGAGTAAGCATCCCGCCCAGCCACGGGTCCAAATACTTGACTGTACAGCTTTTCCGTGATGCCCAGTCCTCTTCTCAGACTGCCAGCAGTGTCACCTGTGAGAGCTCCCGGCCCAAACACAATCTCCAGGTCTGGCCAATCGTAGTCCGGATCCTCAGGCCTGCTACCATTGCTAAATTTAGTTTGGACGAATGCTATACCTTCAGCACCTCCAGGCAATGTTAGAGGACCATTTCTGTTAATAATATAGTCAAGGCCAGAAGAAAGGTTGAGTATAAGTCGTCCCTCAATGAGGCTGATGGTATCATTGATAATAAACGCAAGAGCAGCCATAGAAACATGGTCCTGAAGATTATAACCGACTTTCAAGTCACTGATAACAGGGATCCCCAGTTCTTCAAGATGCTGACGAGGACCCACACCAGATAACATGAGAAGCTGGGCCGAGTTGAATACGCCTGCCGACAGAATCACTTCCTTCCGTGCTCGCACTATATATGTACGTCTGTTCTTAACGAATTCAACACCAAATGTTTTATTTGTTTTGGAATCTATTAGAACCTTTGTAACTCTGGCCTGTTTTGCGATATGAAGGTTAGGCCGGTTTCTAATTGGCCGAAGAAAGGCTTTGGACGCGCTGCATCTCATACCATTTCTGATGGTGGCATGGACATAGGAGAAACCGAGCTGAGACTCTGAACTTGGGTCTCTCACTTCGTAACCCAATTCTTGACCTGCTTTCAGAAACGCTGGGGACAGTGGTGTCTTCCACGGGGCTTCCTGGACATTTAGGTATCCTCCGGAAGAGTGGTACGGCGAATTGATCAGCTCTGGGATACCAATATCTTCAGATTTCAAGAAATACGGGAGAACATTCTCATACCCCCAGCCTGTGTTCCCAAGTTCCTCCCAAAGATCATAGTCACGTCGGTTACCTCTGGTGTACACCATATAATTAATTACGCTGGTTCCTCCCATCACCTTTCCACGGGGCCATCTACACCGTTTCCCCTCCATTCCTCTGCAGTAGTTCTTATTGGGTTCGGTTCTGTAACCCCAGTTGAACCCCACAAACTGCGCATAACTCGCCATCAATGGAATTTCTGATACAAAGTTCTCATCTGCACCCGCCTCCAGTAACAGAACAGACCACCCAGGTACTTCCGTCAGCCTGTTGGCCACAACAGAGCCACCGGAACCGGCCCCAATGACGATGAAATCATACTCTTTTTTGAAGACTCTAGTGTCATAAGGCACTCCTTCAGGGTTCTGAAGGCCCTCACGGATTAACCTCAGCACGCTTTCCAGTGAGGACTGCTGTGCTTGTATGATGTTCAGTGACGTCACTGCCAGTAGGAAGCGTAGAAGAATCCTTCGTTTCATTATTGTTCTTAGGATGCTCGAGGTTTGCAGTGACTCCAGGCGCGATATGGGCCTTAATGTTGTTCACACGTTTGTCCTCCTGCAATGGAAGTACTATTTGAAATACACATATAAATATTAATTCCTTAAAGCATAATGGTGACTGTGTATACCAGTTGCTTTAGCATGAAAATGTCTACATTTTGCCAGGTGAATGTATTCATGTGTTTCGAATGATTCTCGGAATAAACAACGACTTTTACGGAAGAATTTAACTGGTTTGTCCTGGTAATGAAGCTGAGGTGTGATTATGAGCCGTAGGAACCGAAATTCGAATGTTATTTAGACAAATTTTAGGTTTCAGTTCTTCTAATGAACGTATTATGCCATTTCTTGTGTAGCTGAAATGAGATGTCTGCTTTAATATATTATTATTTGTTTTATCTGTAACGGTCAAATTACATTTGGACACAATGAATTTTGTGCTGGTGTTACCTGTAACTTTTACTGCTAATCATATTATCACCTTTTCGGGGTTTCGTGACGAATAATAATGGGTTCTGGATTTGATGATTGGGTTTATTGGCGCTTCTTTATATTTACACTCAATTATACCAGCTCACACATTGAACAACTTCTGAATGACGTTTGTCTGACTAATCTCTACGAAGAATCTCTCACTGTTGCCTGAATCTCGGGCTGGTCTCTACTACTGTCGAATTCACGAATGTATTTCCTTCTACAACTGCCACGTGGCCGCGATAGGCGTCACAATGTCTTACAGTTAGTTGTCGCTCTTATTCTCTTCTTCATCCTCTGTCACGAAACGTGTGTCAGTCTCGGAGCAACGCTGTTTGCCATGAAACGTGCTTTTAGCGAACCGTTGTCTGGTAATGGTGTCTGCTCTGGCTTCACCATTCCCACTTTCAGCCGTCATGTCACAATATTCATTAAGGTTTAATAAAGAGATGAAATTATCCAAAGTCTACATATTCGTTTTTGTAGTTATGAATTCATTGTCACTAGGAAGAAAAGTAGATTCTCATGTGAAGTCCGAGAGAGGTGGATGATCTTTTTTGTCTCCCTTATCCATAAAATTCACCATCTTCATATACACGTGGCACAAGCTGACAGCACAGTTTTTGTTACTGGGTGGACAGAGTACCTAAAAATTGTCAGAAACATGTAGGACTATGAGGAAATCCGTTTTGTTGCAATCGAAAATAAACATTTGTAACCACCAGCTAAATCATCCTTGGAGAATCTGAGATTCGTTCTAATTTTCACGAAGTGCCTTGGAGAATAAAATTGTTCTATACCTAAGCAGAAGTCAGGAACAATACATCATGTAAAAGAAAGTCCATAAAACAAAAATATGACAGAAGAACATTACCTTCTCGAACCTAACTACATGTATAATGCAAGAACTTCACCGACGTTTCTGCGGAATACACCGCCCTTTTTGTTAGTGTTGAAGAGTAAATTTTCCTTGCTTCCTGCTTCTGACTGACTGCTTGTTTTTCTTACTCTATACCCGTGAGGATGAAGGCAATATTTTCCCCGAAACGTCGGTGAACTCTTGCCGAATAAGCGTTATATCGCAGAAAATAGTACTCTTCCTAGTCACCCCTATGAGGGATTCAAATCCAGAAGGAAAACACTGCCCTCATCTCTTGTCCTTTAAGGACGCCATTCATTGCCATATTCACAAGAGCCCATTACAGGACACTATCCTGTGTGTAGACTCAGGACTCTTTACAATGCTTGCGGATACCAAATTCTGCTGCATAAACTTGCAGTCACCGCCATACGCTATCAGTCGTGTTTATAATTGTAGTTCCATATTTTTATAGCTTGACTCATCAAAGTTCCAGATAAAATTCCATTTGGGGGGGATGTTTCGTGTTTCAGAGCCGGCACGGCTAATGCACAGTGAATTTAACGTAATTAAAGTTCCGAAACGCTACGACCGAATGTTAATGATGTGGTTGCAAGGCACGAAGCCAGGCGCGGAGACATTTTCAACTGTTTTCAGCATACATTTGTTTCTAACAAATAGCAGATTTAATTTGTTCAAATATTATCTATTACGTCTTCTTATTTCTGCGCTGTTGACTACATCAGCTCCTTGGTATCAGAGGCCGTAGGTTCAACACCGCTGATACCAAAACCAATCATTGGACAGGATCCTAAGCCATATATGCCACATCCTCACAATCGGTTTCTATAAGATCAAACTTAAAGTTTTCCTTCAATTCTTTTTAGTCTGCCATGTTACCGTTTTCCATGATTATCTGGAAGATCCCTATTCTGAAATTTCCACTGCTTTCTCTTATGTCCACTCTCGTAGATCCAAATATTCTCCACCAAAATTGTTGTGCATTCATTGTTTCCTGTCTTAGACACACGTCCTGCCTCCTTAATTTTAGCCACAAATATCGGCCTAGTCTAAGATATTAAGCGACTTGTACAAATCATGGAATTCCACTTTACATGATTTCCTGTTTCACTCAATTCGTCACTCTTTTGCCGGAAGCGTTTCCTGAGCATTCTGATTTAAGATATTTTTAATTATCATTCTTCTCCAAAAGTAAGGTAAAGCTCTCCCTGTAACAGGCCGTGGAGGCCCATAGGGTTCTGAAAGGTTCAGGGTCCCATTTTTTTTAGAAAATCGGCTCACAGATGGCGGTGAGATTGTCAGCCTTGCGCGCCGGCTGCCCGTTACCCCTAGGAATATTCCTGGTACCCATTTCTGTTAGAAGCTGAGTAGACCCTTGGGCCATAGTGCGGCTGGAATTATTAGGTAAATTGAAAAAAAAAATCCACCTCATCGGGATTCGATCCCGCGACCTTCTGGCTTTTAGCATAGTGCCTCAACTAACTACGCTACCGCGTGCCCCCCAACTTCTCCCAAAGTAAGGAATTATATTTCGCACCAATAAAACACAAGAAACAAAACCGTTGGCTTCCTTCATATATGAATGACATCCACGTTTGTCATGGATCACGTTGTTTGCTGGCACAAATATTCGCCTCCTTCTCAGTTGATTTGATAATATTATTCCTGTTATTTCTCTTGTCTTCCTTGATTATGCAATTAACCTGTGTATCGGTCTCAAAATTGACTTCCCTGCTTTTGCTTGACGTCTCCTTACTCCTGGTCTGTAGGTTTAGAAATAACGAGTTTCTCTTCACCAATTTGTCCTCATTCAGTCCGCATGCCTCCCAGCCCCTACTTTCCATTTTCCATACTGACTTAATTTTCTAATGTATTTGAGTAGGGGCACATGTTCTGTAGATTGTTTAACCGTCTATCTAATTAAACCAATTAATTAACTCAATGGAGCGACATCGTATTTGAGAAGACATTTGCTCAGATGTTCAATAAGCCACCTTTGCAGAACTCGAAGTTTCATTACATTGAACCTTATCCTGAATGTGATGGTGAATTGAGTGTTATCCTGCCAGCAACCCTTAAGTTTCGTATATATTCTCTCCCTTCACTTGTTTCCGATGAAAAATGTTATGTGCACTTTTACGATATCTGCCATCCGTACTACTTTCTCCTCTCATTGTATTTTCCGTAATTTAATAGGCTAATTTTATTTATTGACTAGTATAAATTGTGAAGAGGGGCACGCGGTAGCGTAGCTGGTTGAGGCACTCAGCTACAAGCCGGAAGGTCGCGGGTTCAAATCCCGATGACGTCATTGGACTCTATTCAATTGACCTAATCCTTCCAGCCGCACTCTGGCCCTGGGGTCGACCCAGCCTCTAACAGAATTGAGTACCAGGAATTAATTAAATAATTTTCCTGGGGAGTAAAGGGCGGCCGGCGAGTAAGGCTGACAACCTTACCGCAATCCTTGAACCGATTGTCTAGATAATGTGGGAGCCTCAACGTCTCACAATCCTATGGGCCTTCACGGCCTGGTACAAGGATAGCTTTAACTTTTTTTAACAAGTTGTGAAGATCTTCCCTTTGCTATTATTTCTGCCCCCACATAAGTCGACTCTCTTAATTCACGTATTCCTCTCAGGACTTCAATCGTGCCCTTGAAATGTCAAGTTTCAAATTCATACAAAGAAGCTTGTATCCAGCATTGAGTATGAAAAAAAGAATACCATTATCTTCTTCCACTTTGTTCCTTTTGTCTCTGCCAGTTCATGCTCATATAAGCTTATATAAATAAGAAAATAAACAGGGTCGTGTCATACTTCAAGCGGTTAGTCGCTGGATTCCCACCGCGGCGGCCCGAGTTCGATCCCGGGTCTGGTCAAGTGGGATTTGTGGTGTACAAGGTGGCGCTGGGGCAGGTTTCCTCCGAGTACTTCGGTTTCCCCTGCCAATCTTCATTCCACCAATTGCTCCACAATCACCCTCACTTATCATCTGGGGCTGGTACAATAGGCCAGAAGTGTTCGCAGTACAAGGGGCTTTGTCCCACCCCACTAGAAAAAAAAAACAACCGCTTCCATTAAGAAACTATTAGTTCAGTTAATCACGAAATTTCCCACCGTTTATCGAACTCGAATGGATATTTCCTTGTTTACGCTTGTTTGCGAATGCTGCTTCCGCAACTCTTCTTGTCTGGAAGACCTCTCCACGCCCTTGCGACTGCTCATGGACTTGGAAGAAAAGTCTTTTTCATCGATGAAACAGTGTCTTATTTTGCGTCAAATCAACTAGAAGCGCGTTTTCCAGAAATCTGGAATTGTGCAATCACTAGTTGTAAGAGTGTCAAACAAATCCGGTTATCCGTCCAAAAGCCGTCTATATTCACCCAATATGTGATAATATAAATTTAATTTCAACGAATTAAGAGGCCCTTTCTTTACATTTCTTTATCCATAATTCTTTTAATCACTCAGCGTACGAGAAACCACTGCTGTAGACCGGAGAGACGAACATGGAAGTTCCCCATCTGTGAGCCGTGTTTCGGATGCAATGGAATTTGCTGTATAATTAAACTTGCTCTTCTGTACTCAGTGTCAGAGCGGAGGGGCGTTAGCCACCGATTTGCCTGTCTGGAAACTGCATGCCTCTCTTGCTGACCCGATAAACCACTAAATTCAGCCGGTGGATATGGCTTTGATGTA